CACATCTGGCCTTTTATCCTAAATGACTTTTGTATCTGAGCAAAACCTAGATCATTTGAACAAATTCTACAGATTTCACAAAATATGGATATATGTTGATATATCTCTGTGTGTAGGCATACATATATATGTATGTGCCTTTCAGACCTGTGATTTCTTTGGTGTAGGGAGCTTTCACCAGTGAGGAAACTCTTTCTAGCAATGGAGGTCAGCACCTTTTCTCTAACTTGCAGTATTAGAGAGTTGTGTGAGTCACAGAACTTAAGGGATTTGCCCAGGTATGTCTCTACATATCTGAGATAGATTATGTAATGGTTGGTGTATATTTTTGTGTATAGTATATGCACACAAATAACAGATATATTTTTGCATAGATATATGTTTACAAACAAAATTTTACATGTGTATAAAATTATATATAGATATACATTTTATATTTATTTATAGATTTGTGTGTGTGGTGTAGGGTATGTTCAAGGAAGATTATTATCTCTGGCATGAGGACTGCCAAGCCCTTTTCAGGGCTGCTTTCTACCTTTTGCAACTACCTGATTCACCAAACTCACCTGTGGGTTTTAATCTGTAGATTAAGAAGCTATAGTATGTGCAGTGGCCACACCCTGGTAAACCATTTTGGCAGACATGCTAAACCAGATTGAGGGTAACTGAGGGGTCTCAAACCCATCACTGAATTAGTGGAGCATCTATCCCGAGCATATGAAGACATCCCCAGCAGAATGGGTGGATGAGAATGATTTGTTCCAACAGCTATGAAGGTGGCTGATGCAGGCACTGTGGAGTGTTTAGAGCTTTGTTAGACATCAAAAATGCCAAGGTCATCCACAGCATCCTGAGATATCACCAATTTTCTTGACTTTGTCTTGCCACTAGACTTTGATGATGCTAGAAGAGAGAGTGAGGCCAACAACTTTGCCCAACTCCACCTCACTTAAATCCAATTTATATGTGAATCAAAAGACATCACCCACACCATTTTACGATTTTTACCTACCTCAAAGTCCTGTGGTGACAGCAAGTGACAAAGCAGCACGTGACGTAGTCACAACCTGTCCTGAAGGTGACCCAGATCATAGGGTTATCTTCTCACTGGACTGAAGCAGCAGTGGGATTTGGCAGCCCCCTGGGTGTCTGAGCTGCATTTTTAAAGGACCACACTACTCACCTCCTGGTATGAGGAAGGGGCTAAAAAAAGGTGCCTTAAAAATTGTCTCCTGCCTTACTATCGTCTGCTTAGCATGTTAGGTGGGGATCTCATCCTATGGTCAAAATACACACAAAAAATGTACAAAAACTTTTACAAAGATTATTCCACTGACCATTAGCACACGGAATGTGTGCACTCTTATGGACAACATGAAATCCAGTAGACCTGATAGAAAACAGCTCTTGTGAGAAAACTTAGCCGGAATAGCATCCAATTAGCAGCCCTCAGTGAAACAAAGTTAGCAAATGACGGGCAGCTTGCCAAAGTTGGAGCTGGATACACATTTTTATGGAGTGACTGTGGCAAAGGGGAGTGCCATGAAGCTGGTGTAAATTTTTCAGTCAAAACTTTTCTAGTCAACGAGCTTGTATACTCACCAAAAGGAGTGCACAAAAGGCTCCAGACATCATGATTGCCACTTGCAGGAAAGCACCACGCCATCATCATCAATGCATATGCTCTCAACGTGATGAACCCTGATGAGGTCATAAAGAAAAACTTTATGAACATCTGGAGACCCTCATTCTCAATGTGCTGAAAGAGGACAAGCTTGCAACTCCGGGTGACTTTAATGCCAAAGTAGGCACAAACTACCAGACATGGCAGGGGATACTTGTTCGGAGGAATGGAGTTGGAAACACCCACAACAACAATTATTTACTACTGAAGACTTGTGCATCTTATGACCTCCTCATCACCAACGCTGGATCCCATTTACCTAAATGCAATAAAACTTTGTGTATGCACTCTTGCAGCAAACATTGGCATTTAATAGATTATGTCATTGTAAGGAGAAGAGAGAGATAGGGTGTGAAAGCAGGAACAGTTTGCTGCTGACTTGGAGGAAAAGCTGAGCCAACACACAGTTGGCAACAGTGATGCAGAAAAGCAATCAGCTGCTATCAGAGATTTGGTGTACAACACTGCATTTATCCATCTGGGCCAGAACGTTCATAAACAGCATCAAGGTGAACTACTGCACTGCACTGACAGTAAATTATTTAAATTGAAAAGGCTACAAGCCAAGACTAAAGTGTAGGGAGAGTTGGTGTGCAACTTTTTGTTTATAACCCTGGGATTAAGGAGCATCATAGAATGTTAGTTCTCTAGGATTATCTTTGGAAATCATCTAAGTCAACTCTTTAATTTTATAAAGAAGCTGAGGACCAGAGAGGTTGGCTACCTGTTCAAAGTCACATTGGAACTAAGACTAGATAGAACCCATCTCTTCTTCCCCAGTCCTGTGTCCTTTCCACTACACCATGTTACTCCAGTGTATGTACACCAGTAAAACAAACCCGTAATGCAAACTATTAATACCATACTGATAAAATATGTGGGTGTGCATGTATGTGTGTGTGTCTGTCTCTCTGTCTTTGTCTTTCTGTGTATGTATGTGTGTTTGTGTATGTATTATATACACATATTTATTTATTTATTTATCTATTTATTCATTCACTCATTCATTTATTTATTTATTCACTCATTTTTTATTTATTTATGTGTTTGTTTGTTTATGCATTTTACAGATATATTAAAGCCAGAAATTTTAACAGTTTCTAAACAATTTTTCTTGTTGTTCAGTGATTCATTTATATCCAACTCTACGTAACTCCATTGACATTGTCCAAGGGGTTTAATAGTTTGCCATTTCCTTCTTCAGTGTGCCCCTATTTTACAGATGAGGAACTGAGGCAAATAGGGGTTAAATGACTTGCCCAGGGTGACACAGCTAGTAAATGACTGTGGCTTGATTTGAACTTAGTCTTTTCTGACTCCAAGTTTGGTGCTCTATCCACTGTACCACATAGCTGCCTCTTCTAAATAGTGCTCCATAATTTAAAATTATAATTAGCTCCTTGACCATGTGATAAATGAAGCAATAGGCCTTAGTACCATTGTTTCTTTGTAACTCCTTTGGTGGTTTGCAGTCACTCAGAAGTCACAATATCTTGAAGATGAAGGTTTCTGCATCTCTATGTGATATGTTTAATACAGGATATAATCCGGGATAGCTCACATCACAGGGAATAGGTTTATTTTCTTCTCTAAGATGAAAATTTGTTTCTTTTCAGTGTTTCTATTGTTATTTTCAGGGCAGCTAGATGTCACAGTGGATAGAGCTCTGGACTTGGAGTCAGGAAAACCTCAGTTCAAATACAGCCTCACAAAATTCTAGCTGTGTTACCTTAAGCAAGTCACTTAACCTTTGTTTGCCACTGGAGAAGGAAATGGCAAATCATTCCAGCATCTTTGCTAAGAAAACCCCATAAACAGAGGTCCACAGAGTCACAAAGAGTTGGACGCAACCGAACAACAATTGTTATTTTTGAAAGGGATCGCTAGGAGCCACGTTTCCTTTTAACCTCTTACGTCCTCATAGATAAATATGACAAGTTGAGGAATTCGATCCAGCCTTTTCATTTTGTTACAGAGAATGGGGTTGTGGGGAGGTGATTGAGGGGAAGAGTAAAACTACCAACCAACACTAAAGCACAAGCCAACCAAATACTCCTAAAGGCTTAATAGTCTTGCTTAATGTCCTTGTTAAATGCTTGGTTTGGGGCTTCTCTAACTGGCACTGATAATATCAAAAGATAGGGAGAGACTGAAGATAGGTGATAAAATGGAGAAGACAGAGGGGGTGATCTGTTGCAGAAGACAGAATGGCATGGGATTGCTTGAACAAGAAGAGGGGTTAGCTTTGGTAAGGAGTAAGGCCACTTTACCATGGAAGATGGGTAAAGGAGAAAATAGTGGCAGAAGGCACCTGAGTGATAGAAGATGAGGAAGAGGGGAGAAGAGGGACTTCATAGCCTCATTTTTTTCTGTAAAATATGAGGCAATGATGTCTGCTGATAGAGTGAGTGGAAGGGGAACTATGGGAAATTTGAGAAGGGATGAAAAGGTTGGGAAGAACTATGGATAATGAAATAATGAGTTGATAAACTAAACAATGTTATTTCTCTACATGTACTTCACTACCATTGTTCTCTGTGCTGCCCCTGCCCCTGATGCATGTATTTGTTGGACGGTTCACTTCATGTTTATGGGGGAACTTGTGAAATAGTATTTGTATTAGATGTGCATTACCACCCTAGAACCCAAGGTAGTAGCCACCCAAACCGCAAGTGCTAATGCAAATTCAGAGAGGCAAGCAGCCAGGAAAAAAAGACCTTCAAATATGGCAGAAAAGCAATCAGGCTTGTAGGATTGGCTAGCAGTCCTGTTGGAGTTGTGTAACACAAATTTGTACCAGACCCAGTCAAAACAGTTGTGTGATTTTCTCCAAGTTCATTCAGCAAACACATGTTTAGAAGTAAAGGTCATGAATGGTAGGAAAGACAGCCCAGGCCGAGGTTTGACTGGGTGTAATCAATGATGTAAAGAGGCTAAGGATTCAAAAGAGGAGATCAGTGTAGAGTTTAATTTGTTCATCAAAGAGTCAAGATAATGAGAAAGTGAGAGAGTTGAGGTGCAGGGGAAATGGCCTGGGAGAGAATTAAGTTGTCAAGGTATTACAGGTCATGGTGAAGATGAAGAGTAATGTTTGTAAGGGAAATAAGTAAAAGGTAGAATCTCAGAATTTTTTTTATTTGCATTTTTCTAATTAATAATGATTGGGAGCATTTTTTTTTTCATGTGGCTATGGATAGCCTGCGTTTCTTCCTTTGAGAACGTAGGACCTATGATGAAATATGTATTTATAATAATATGTAATAACAATAGTTTTGGATGTACCTGATGTCAATTTCTGTTATTTTTACGTCTGCAGCAAAAGGATTCTGAGCCAACCAATGAAAAGGAGACGCCTTCTGGTGAGAATGGTAAGACAATAAAAGACACCCATACACACAGGCAGTACATACAGCACTAAGTTGATTGAACACAGGAAGATATTGGTCTAAGTCTTGTCTCTGACCCTTATTAGCTGTGTTACTTGGTCACTTAATCTTTCTACATGTCTTAGGGAACGAATAATTTACTATGTCACAGGTGAGTTGTGTTCTGTATTGGTTTAAGGATTTCCCATAAAAGGAGTTCCCTATACTGATAAAAGCACGGAATCCTTTATGCATTTGAGAAAATGTTTATATGTGTATATATACATACATACATACATACATACATACATACATACATACATACATATATATATATATTATTATTACTCTGTGCACTATTTGTGCACTCTGCTGAGTCTCTCTACGTCAGGAGGACTTAGGGAGAGCTCTGTGTGTGTGTGTGTGTGTGTGTAAGAAAATGGCTTGTAAACATAAAAACATTTTACCTCTGAGTGTTTCTGTTGTTGGGGATAATTGCAAGTCAGTTTATTTCCTTTTTTTTTTTCAGGAATGCCTCAAATATTTCTCTGTTGTTGAAGGTCCATCCTTTTCATCTGATGATAAAGCTTAGCTTTTCAGGATATTTAATTTAGGGTTGTAACTTCAGTTACTTTGTCTTTTGGAATGTGTTATTCCATCCTTAACTTTGATTTCTCATTATTATGGAATATATTTGGCTTATTCTAATTGCTTCTCTTTCATATCTGAAGGTTTTTTTTTTTATGGCTGCTTGCCTCTCTGAGTTATTCTATTACCTTGAATTTGCATTAGCACTTGTGGGTTGGGTGGCTACTACCTTGGGTACTAAGGTGGTAATGCACATCTAACACAAATTCTATTCACAAGTTCCCCCATAAACATGAAGTGAACTGTCCAACAAATACATGCATCAGGGGCAGGGTCAGCAGGGACAGCAATGGTAGTGAGGTACATGTAGAGAAATCACATTACTTAGGCTGCTCACTCTTCTGGTTTCTTTCCTAATGGAGTCTCCACAAGGCTTAACTCTTGAATACCAAGGATAGCTTTCAGGCTGCTGGCCTCTTCTTTACTTCCGGTATCATGCTTCTTGAAGCTGCTTCTAATCTCAGTTGCCTGTCTGTCTTTATCCATGGCTGTCTGGAATGTTTTTCCTCCCTTACCTGTGCCTTTAGCAATCCCTAGATTCTGGATATGGTGTCCTCTTTTGGTCATATTGCTCCACTGCTAGATGCTGTGTCTAATCGTGTAGGTTTGAAGAGAAAGAAATATCCTCTTCGCATCCCCAAAGCAATTCCCTCTCAGGGGCTGAATTCTTCCTCAACTTCTGGTTTCTGCCAGAGCTGCCTTGACCTCCCAAGATACTTGATTGATTCATTGCCTAAATGGATTAGCCATTTAAGACTTCTAGGAATATGGCCAGTTTTTTTTCTTATTAAAAATTTAATTATAGCAGAGGAAGGAAAATTCTATTTAATTCCATCAGAGAAAGGTGTTCATAATTTGTAAAGGGATCACTGAGTTATCTTCTTAATATGTAAACATCTCAGCATCTGTGATTCTATTAAGTGATTACATCAACTGAATTGAAGGGTGGGTGTGTGGAATCATCTTACTCCCTTATATTGTGTGGTATTGACTACCCTAGCCCCCATTGCCTGCAGACTAAGTATGTTGTATTTCACCCCTTCCCCAGTGTTCTTTGGTACACTTAAGGGCACTGGGAAGTGTCTGCCAATAGCTGTGGTGCCCATTGATGGTGTTTCAACTGTAGGGGGTGTTCACTTGCACCCTAGTTCCATTTTACCATTTACAGTTGATTTAGCTTTTACAAAGAAATATTTATTTTAAAAGATAAAAGCACAAACACTGTCCAACACATGGGAGGCATAATCTCTCTCCCTTACCTGTATCAGCTCAGTTTCTGAGAAGGGGAAGGGGATTGTGTTCATAGCTTAGTTCAGTTCTTATAGAGCATAGTCCTAAGTTCCAAATCTCAAGGGGCTCAAGTCTCCCTCAGGCTTCTACAGGCTTCCCTGCCAGACTGACTAATTTTTAATATCTCTTATTTGTGCTTATTTTGGGTTGGTTTGTTGGCTAGTGTTTAAAAAATGTATATTCAGTTTGTTAATTCTTTTTCTATTTTGTTAATGTATGTTTAAGTAAATGGTTTTCCCCTTGGGGATTGATTTAGCTATATCTCAGAAATTTTGGGATGTTGTTTCATCATTACCATTTTCTTTTGCATAATTATTGTTTCTCTGATTTATTCTTTAATCCACTCATTATTTAGGATTTTGTTGTTATGTTTCCATTTGGGTCTGTGTCTTTTGTTTATGCTCTATGAACTGTTTACTGTTTTTAATGCATTGTATTTCATAAAGTATATGCTTACTATTTATACCTTCTTACATGCATTTACAATATCTTTATTTTCTCATATGTGGTCAATTTTTAAAAGTTCAGTGTTGGGGCAGCTAGGTGGCATAGTGGATAGAACACCGGCCCTGGATTCAGGAGGACCTGAGTTCAAATCTGGCCTCAGACACATGACACTTACTAGCTGTGTGACCCTGGGCAAGTTACTTAACCGCATTGCCTAGCCAAAAAACCCCCCCAAAAGCCCCAAACAAAGTTCAGTGTTACAAGGAGAAATATGCATATTCTTTGGCAATCTTATTTAATAGATGCAATAAGTCTTTTAGCTCTGGTTTCTCCAGCAATTTGTTCAATTCCATATTTTCCCTCGTGTTTATCTTTTTGTCAGACATATGAAACTGAGAATGGCACATTGATATCTCTTGTAACTATTGTATTACTGTCCATGTATTCTTGTAATTCAGTTAATTTTTCCTTTGGGAGTTTATATGCTAAGGCATTTGGTATAAATACACATTTAGTATTGATATTGCTTTGTTGTCTATAGTTTCTTTAAGAATAATATAACTACCTTGTTTATTCCTTTTTATGTTTTGAATATTTGTTTGTACTTTGATAGCATAATAACACTTCTTTTGGGGGTTCACCTTATGCATAGCAAAGTTTGTTGTAATCCCTCATTTTTATTTTGGGTATTTCTTTGTTTTTTTATATGCAACAGATTGTGGTGTTTTTTTTTTTAATCTCATCTACAAGTCTTTTTCTTTTTATTGGATTATTTAATTCATTTACTTTTAAAGTTATGGGAGTTAGGTTTATATTGTCCTTGATTTGTTTCTAATAATTTCCCCCCAAATTGGGATTTCCCCCTCTTTCTGTGTAATCATAGTACTAATTTTTTTCAGTTATTTAGCTGAATATATTTTAAGGCAACCTTATGCGGCTCTCTTCTTCTTATCTTTAAGCCACTTTACCCCTTTCCCTTGTTTTAGAGTTTTGCTTAGCTTAATAGTTTTTTTCTTTCTTATGAAACGTCTTCAAGATTCAACTCAAATGCCACTTCTTTAAAAAACCATCCCCATTTTCCCCAATTATTATTTCCTTACTCTAACATATTACCTATAACTTGTGTACAAGTGTGTACATGGTGTCAATGAGCTTATAGTTCACTGGGAGATAACCACATATGAACAGAAAATACAGAATATACATAAGGCATACATAGAGAGAGTAGGGAGATAACAATTGGGGAAATAAGAAGGGGTTTTAAGAATCAGAGTTTAAGAGGGAGAGCCTTCTACCCATGTGCAAAAGAACAGAGATGAGAAAATGAATATTGTATAGAGGAAACAGCAAATAGGCATGATGGGAGTATTCTGTGTACTTGACAGAAAGTTTAGGAGGAAAGCTAATGAGTTCTGTTTTGAAAATGTTGAGTTTGAGATATCTATGAAATATCCAGGTGGAGAGGTCCTGTAGCAAACTGGAGATTTGGGGCTAGAGCTCAAGAAGCAGTGGAGGGCCAGACATGAGGTAGGTATGATGTGCATAGGGAAGATGGTTAAATCCATGAGAGCTGAGTACAGAGAGAAAAGCATGAGAGGATGAGGAGGAAGATGATGATGAGGATGATGAAGAAGAAATTATGGATATCACACCTGCCAAAAGAAAGGCTGCTTCTGTGAGAGCTGCCCTTTGGAAAGTTGAGAAAGCTAAGGAATCAGAGGAGGAGGAAGAGGAAGATGAGGAGGAAGAAGAGGAAGTGCCAAAGAAACACCAGGGAAAGGAAAAAGGAAATGGGCAAACAGAAATCCCTTGAAGCTAAGACATAGAAATTAGAAACTGAATCATCTACAAATTTCAGTCTCTTCACTGCTAACCCAAACTTCCATAAAACTGCTTCTGAGCTAAAATCTGACATCATGGACTTCTTGAAGTTGTGGACATGGCACCACCAGGAAATTTGGCTATGTGGAATATGAATCATCTGAAGACATGGAAAAAGTTCTGGAATTTAGTGGCCACAAAGTCGTTGGCTCTGAAATGAAAATAGAAAAAGCAAAAAAAAAAAGATTGAAATGCAAGGACGCTCTTTATTAAGAATCTGCCTTATAAAGTAACACAGGAGGAACTCAAAGAAGTGTTTAAAAATGTTGTTGAGTTTAGAATGATCTGCACCAAAGACGAGACATGAAAAAGAATCACCTACATTGAATTTAAGTCAGAAGCAATTTAAGGTCTCATAAGAGAAATAGGAAGCTGAGACTGATGATTGGGCATCCATTCTGAACTACACAGGAGAGAAAAGTCAAGGAGAAGAGAATACAAGAGGTGGGAAGAATAGTTTCTGGAGCAGGAATGGCAACAAGGTGGCAGACTCAAAGACACAGTTGGTGAATAACTTTGCCTACAATGCCATGGAAAAAAGTCTCCAGGTAGTGTTTGAGAAGGCAACATCAATCAGCTTGCTTACAAACAACCAATGCCAACCTAAAGGATTTGCATTAATTTAATTTGTCTCCATGGAAGATGCAAAAGAAGCTTTGAATTCTTGTAACAATATAGAAATTGAAGGCAGAGTGATCAGGTTGGAGTTAAAGGGCCATTAGACAATTAATGTAGTC